TCCTGTGCTTCAGTTTGTGCCCATTGCCCCTTGTCCTGTCACTGGGCACCACTGAAAAGAGCTTGGCCCCATCCTCCTGACACCCACCCTTCAGATATTTGTAGGCATTTATAAGGTCCCCTCGCAGCCTTCTCTTCTTCAGGCTGAACAAGCCCAGTTCCCTCAACCTCTCCTCGTAGGGGAGATGTTCCAGTCCCCTCACCATCCTCGTAGCCCTCCGCCTGTTTGGTGGCAGCTTGAATAGAGGAGGAGAAGGAGAGGAAATGCGTTACCTCCGCGCTTTCCAACAAACAATTCAGTCATCTGGGACAAAAGTGCTCCATGATAGCGTGACTTATTTTGGACATATCCTGAACTTGTAATTCTGAAATTCACATTTCTAGTCCCTACAAGTTCACGTAACGTTGTTCTCTTTGTATCCTGCCATTCTTCCGGTTTCCCTCTGCTCTTTGGCCGTCGCTTTGCAGAGCTGTACAGAGCTCTGCTGTCCTTGCTGAGATCTGTCTCTGTGCAGACCAGCGTGCTGGCAGCCGTGCAGATTCCCGCGCGCTGCCTCTAACGAGCCGTCCCCGCGCCCGGAGCTCGCCCCGGCACCAGCGCTGCCGCTGCAGACGAGCAGCCGTTGGCAAACCTGCCAGGCTCGGGGGGTTTCGGGAGGTGTGAGGGGTGTGTGCAGACATGCGTGCGAGAAGGTGCTTTGTCTTGGCAGCTGTGCACAGAGTTCCTCGTTCCTTAGGAAAATTTACCTTTTTGTTTTGACCATCTCGAGCAGCAGTGTTGTTCCTGGTGGTAGTGACTGAATTCACGAGTCAGGCTGGACTGAGTGTTCTTGGTATCAGCAAATCCAGTTCAAGTTGAGAATTCTTTGCTTTTCAAAGATGCGTGCGAGAAGGTGCTTTGTCTTGGCAGCTGTGCACAGAGTTCCTCGTTCCTTAGGAAAATTTACCTTTTTGTTTTGACCATCTCGAGCAGCAGTGTTGTTCCTGGTGGTAGTGACTGAATTCACGAGTCAGGCTGGACTGAGTGTTCTTGGTATCAGCAAATCCAGTTCAAGTTGAGAATTCTTTGCTTTTCAAAGCGTTATGCCCCAGAATTGGGATTTAATCTGTAGCTGGTGATCAGCAGTGCAGTGTGGTAGTGGTGATGAGGGCTTTGTTTTACACACGGTTATTGCAGTGTGCCTGCAGGAGTTCTGTGTGGACTTACTCTGCGGTATGGCCCCAGATCAGATTTAGGGAAGCCGGAGTTCTTTTACCCTCACTAAAATGTACTTTCCTTAAAAGAAGCTGTGTTTTCCTCCCTCCAGTCCACACTGCGTTTTACTGAAGCAAAAAGTGTTAATGGTATGGTGTTTTTTTTATTTTTCTCCTCTGCACAGAAATAATTCATCAGTTCATTTTGGAACAGCAGAAAGGAAACAGAGTGCCTCTCTGCATCAACCCTCAGTCTGCTGCTTTTAAGAGCTTTATTAGGTAACTGTATGTAATCACATCTGATATTCATTCACATTTATTAGTAGTGCAGAATTCACACATCCAAAATATTTTTATGTTTTACGTTTCTGAGAGTAGGAAAGGCCCATAGATAACTTCTGCAAAAAAATACCTTAAGGACGCATATGGTTACATCTTAAAAATACTGTGATCAGTTCTTCTAGAGTTTGAGTAAATGTGTAAAGGTTTCAAGTAATATTTTTGCGTAGAAGTACAGAAGTCAGACTAAAAATTAGAATTGAAAGATTGACAAGTTGAATTCTGATCGTAGCATTGCCCTGTAAAAACCTTAATGACTGGTAGATGAAGAATCGTGAAGGAAATGAGTAGATCAAGCCTAGTATTTGTTGTCAGTGTTGTTAACTGTTGATCCGGGGGTGTTTCGGGTTGTTTTGGTTTGGCTTTGGTGGGTTTTTTTCCTTTGCCTTGAGATGTTTGCTTACTGGTTGAGCATGAACTGCCTTGCCCGTTGGCCATTGCAAGTGAACGCTGATTTTCTGTATCACCCGCACTCTAGTTCCACGGTTGCTCAGCCATCTGAGATGCCGCCATCTCCTCTGGTTTGGGAGTAAAGTGGAAGATAAGATACTACTGAAGACGTAATGTAGCTTTCCACTGGAGTCTGGGATTTGCAATTCTGGAGGTTAATCATGCTTGTACTGTAATTTTACTAATGAAGTTTTAAATTAACAACCACTACTTGTACAATATGAATAATATTTAGAAATGTACTAGACTTTTAATCTTGTAAAGTGGTTGTGCTTTTAGAAGAAAATATTTTACCCAGAGTTGCACGTGTTTTATGAATTCTAGTGCAGCTGTGATGGCTCAGCTCAGAACAAACAGAATTGAACCAAATTTGGGGAGGGTTTTGCGTTTTTTCTCTTTTTTTTTATTGAAGTGAGATTGTACAAAAAGATAGACATACATTTTGATATTGAGCCATTCCTGAAGATTTTGGGTTTTCTAAAACTAAGGAATACAGAAAACTTGACTGCGACCAATCATGAAGTCCCGCCAGCTGACAGCGACCCCGCAAGCGGCCCTGTCACCTGGTGATCAAATCCTATAAATAGCTTCTCACTAGAGCTGTGATGGTGATGTGTGCTGTTCTAAAATCCAATGTTGTGAGTAGAGAGAATGAGTTTGTGACTAGGAGAGACTAAACTTCTGTTTCCTTACCCAGTATAAATATATATATATATTTAATCTATTTTTATTAGAAGTTTTTCTGCTCTTTCTTACATAAAACCCCCCAGCATGCATCTTCTGTGTGTGTAAATAATTCCATTTATGGGCTAATTTCAGAGATCCCTGACATCATTGCTGTATAGAGAGAAACTAGCTTGCACATTTTAGGTCTGTGAAATTTTGTGAGAACTTTTTCCTGCACTGGACAGTTGGGAGAAAAAAAAAAAAAGAAAAGGAAAAAAAAAGCACATAGGGAATTATGTTAATTGTGTTTGTGTCTCTAGGCGAAGCTGTGGAAGTCTTGAAATGTCACAGTAGTAAATAACTTTTATTACTTTTTGGCTAATTCTTTTTCTGTTGGAACACTGAATTCTGTGCATATGTATATATGAACACAAATTGAAGGCCTCTACCTCCTGGAGTATACAACTTGGTTTGTTTACCTCCACATGATTTTTTTTTTTTTAAGTTCAGTGGGGAGACTTGAAACTTGAATGTCCCTTCCAACTTTTATATTTAAAACAAGACTAGAAAATTGAAGACTGTTTTTCACCTGTACAAAGAAATACTAAAGGGTGGTCTTAAAATTTGAGCATTGGTCTGGAGAAAAACCGTGGTGTTTGTTATGGACAATTAACTGTTAAAGTTATTGTAAGTTATCTGTATTTAGCAGAGTATTTTCAACAAGAGTGATCTGAGCTGAAATTGGAGACTATTAGTAAGTTATGTTTGGAAGTTTTAACTTCAATGAAGTAATTATTTGCTGTGAAAGAGACAAACATTGAATAGCTGAACAAAGATGGTGCAATATCTTTGTTTTTTGTGAGGCTCCTGCGAATAAAACCAGCTGAAGCATTTCAATTCACTTGAGTGAGAACGTGTTTAATGAAAAGAGCCCGAGAAGACACTGGTATGAAAGGTAAAATCTCAGAGGTTGGTCAGTTAATGTGGCACACTTGCTGGTCACTTTGTAAAATGTAGATTTGAAGTACGGTGGTGAAAACATTAAATGTGACATTTGAAAAAGGAGTGGCGTTATCTTTATTTCCTGTCTGATCTCCCACCTTTATTTAAGAATAAGTTGTTACAATCTTGATTAAATGCTGTCTAAAAGAATACAAGGAAAAAGCGTTTGTAACATCTTGCTTTGGGCATGGTTTTGATTTTTATGCTCACATGCATACACATATATATATGCACCTACATGCACATATATATGAATTCATAAACAAAATATTCATTTACTCTTTAAGCTCAATCCTGGATAAAGGCAAAACTTGCGGATTAAATCACAACGAGCAATTGCCTTGCACTTTACTGGGAGGCTGCGAGACGTCCAGTCAGGGATGGAGTGGACTCAGTCTGCCAAGCTCGCGTCGTTTGTCGAGCACAGGGGCT